AATGTGGAATATCCTGGGCTATGGAATATCCTGGATTGTGGAATATCCTGGGTTGAATTGTGGAATATCCTGGGTTGTGGAATATCCTGGGTTGAATTATGGAATGTCCTGGGCTATGGAATATCCAGGATTGTGGAATATCCAGGATTGAAATGTGGAATATCCTGAGTTATGGAAAATCCTGGATTGAATTGTGGAATATTCTAAATTGAATTGTGGAGTATCCTGAATTGAAATGTGCAATATCCTGGGTTATGGAATATCTTGGGTTGAATTGTGGGATATCCTGAGATATGGAATATCCTGGATTGTGGAATATCCTGAATTGAATTATGGAATATCCTGAATTGAAATGTGGAATATCCTGGGTTATGGAATAGCCTGTGCTATGGAATATCCTGGGTAGAATTGTGGAATATCCTGGGCTATGGAATATCGGGGGTTATTGAATATCCTGGGCTGTGGAATATCCTGGGCTGTGGAATATCCTGGGTTATGGAATATCCTGGGTAGAATTGTGGAATATCCTTGGCTGTGGAATATCGGGGGTTATTGAATATCCTGGGCTGTGGAATATCCTGGGCTGTGGAATATCCTGAATGGGGTCACCCAAGCCCAGCTCCAGGCCCAGGACAGGGATCAGGGATCGGGGTCGGGGATTCTCCTGAGGCTCTGCAGGGGCCGGAATTTGGGGGGGAGGAAGGCAGAGGGAAGGAGCTGGGGCTGAATTTATCAGCAGCGCAGACAGACAGACAGACAGCGCTGACAGACAGACAGGCAGGCAGCCGCTCCCGGGGCTGCTGAGGGAGATAAAAGGAGAGCAGACAGACAGACAGACAGACAGCCAGCCCTGCAGCAGCAGCAGGAGCAGGGCTGGGCTCCCAGCCCCGCTCTGTGCCCCAGTTCTGCCGTGGGGTGCTGGGCCCGGCCTGGGCTGGCATTGCTGGGGGGATCTTTCCATCAGGGATTGCTGGGGATTCTCCCTCCTCAGGGTTTTCTGGAGGATTCTTTCCCTCCTCAGGGATTGCTGGGGATTTTCCTTCAGGGATTGCTGGGGGTTCTCCCTGGGCAGGGCAGGCAGAGCCTGGCTCAGCCCCGGGCTGGGCTCGCAGCTGGCTCAGCACGGCCAGCGGCCGGGGCTGGGCTCATCCTGCCCTGCTCACTCTCATTTATTCCTGCCCTGCTCACACTCATTTATTCCTGTCCTGCTCACACTCATTTATTCCTGCCCTGCTCACACTCATTTATTCCTGTCCTGTTCTCACTTCTGTCCTGCTCACACTCATTTATTCCTGTCCTGCTCACACTCATTTATTCCTGCCCTGCTCACACTCATTTATTCCTGTCCTGCTCACACTCATTTATTCCTGTCCTGTTCTCACTCATTTATTCCTGCCCTGCTCACACTCATTTATTCCTGCCCTGCTCACACTCATTTATTCCTGTCCTGTTCTCACTCATTTATTCCTGTCCTGCTCACACTCATTTATTCCTGTCCTGCTCACACTCATTTATTCCTGTCCTGTTCTCACTTCTGTCCTGCTCACACTCATTTATTCCTGCCCTGCTCACTCTCATTTATTCCTGTCCTGCTCACACTCATTTATTCCTGCCCTGCTCACACTCATTCCTGTCCTGTTCCTCTCATCCCTGTCCCCCTCGCCCATCCCTGTCCTGCAGACCCCGCTCAGGGAGAGGCCCCTGAGGGTGGGAGGGCAGAGCCCGGGCCAGGACACTCGGGGACAGCGAGGACAGCAAGGACAGACAGTGTGACACTGTGCAGGACAGCCCGTGTGACATTGTGCAGGACAGGACAGCCCGTGTGACACCCATGGCAGGACAGCCCGTGTGACACTGTGGCAGGGCTGGACAGGTTTTGTGGCATTGTGACAGGACAGGCTGTGTGACATCCATGGCAGGACAGGACAGCCCGTGTGACACTGTGGCAGGGCTGGCTGTGTGACACTCATGTCAGGACAGCCCGTGTGACATTGTGGCAGGGCTGGCTCCTGTCCCTGCCAGCCCCTGGCACCTCCCGTGGTGCCAGTGCTGGCCCTGCTCGGTGCCATCGGTGCCATCTGTCCCTCCTGGCCCTGTGTCACCGTGTCCCCAGCTCTCCTCACCCTGCCCTGCTGGGGCACTGCTGCTCTGCCCAGACCCGCAACTGAGGGCACAGATCACAGATAACAGATCACAGATAACAGATCACAAATCACAGATTAAAAAAATCACAGATGAAAAAAATCACAGATCACAAGTAAGAAATGACAGATAACAAACATCCCTTGGAACCTTCCCTGGATCCTCCCCAGACATCCACTAAAGGAAGGGATGCTTTTAAATGATAGTCACTACATTATGGGGTTCTTTGAAAGGATGTTCACTCAAAGAAGGGGGGCTTTTAATGGATATTCACTAAAAGAAGGCGTTCTTTCAGTGGATACCCACAAAAAGAAGTTGCAGCAACTCACAACTCCCCACTTCCTTACCCTTAAAATGAAACGCAAGGCTAAACGTTCCAGCACAGAACCTGTTAAAAACGCAGCATTTAACCCCTTCCTGCAGCGGCTATCCCCTCATTCAGTGCACATCCCCTCATTCAGTGCACATCCCCTCATTCAGTGGATATTCACTGGTCATTTTTCAGCTCCCAGGGCTGTTGGATTGTGCCCTTCCCCCTGAGCAGGGGAGGGCCCTGGATCCCCTCCAGTGCCACCAGATCTGTGTCCTCCCAGCCTTTGCTCTGCTCCTCCTCACTTATCTGCCAAGGCCAGCCCCAGTGCCAGGGGTTTTATTTACACCGTTATTCATCCCTTTATTTACACGTTTATTTATCCACCCTTCACTGTGGCCCTGAGCAGGGAAGGGGAGTCGGCATTTCAGGGAGGGGAACAGGAGTGGGAACCCCAGAGCTGCTTTGGAAAGCTTGGTGGTGTTTGGGGACAGCTCAGCTCTGGCTGTGACCCCAGGGTGTCCCTGTGTCCCGTCCCTCTGTCCCGTCCCTCCGTCCTCACCTGCCCTTTCTGTGTTTCAGGCTGGAGGTGATGGGAAGGGGCTGGGCTGGAATTCCCAGAGCAGCTGGGGCTGCCCCTGGACCCTGCAGGTGCCCAAGGTTGGGGAAGGGAAGGTCCAGAGGAACCCTGGAGCTGATCCCAGAGCCTGGAGGGGGCTCCAGGAGAGCTGGAGGGGACATGGAGGGACAGGGACGGGGTCTGGATGGACAGGGACAGGATGGACAGGGACACAGGGATAGGACCCTGGACGGACAGGGACAGAGGTACAGGACTCCAGCATGGACAGGGACACAGGGACAGGATCCTGGATGGACAGGGACACGGGGACAGGGCTCCAGGATGGACAGGGACACAGGGACAGGATCCTGGATGGACAGGGACACAGGGACAGGATCCTGGATGGACAGGGACACAGGGACAGGGCTCCAGGAGGGACAGGGACACGGGGACAGGGCTCCAGGATGGACAGGGACACAGGGACAGGATCCTGGATGGACAGGGACACGGGGACAGGGCTCCAGGATGGACAGGGACACAGGGACAGGATCCAGGAGGGACAGGGACACAGGGACAGGGCTCCAGGCCAGACAGGGACACAGGGACAGGATGGACAGGGACACGGGGACAGGATCCTGGATGGACAGGGACACGGGGACAGGATGGACAGGGACACGGGGACAGGGCTCCAGGAGGGACAGGGACACAGGGACAGGATCCAGGATGGACAGGGACACAGGGACAGGATCCAGGAGGGACAGGGACACAGGGACAGGATCCAGGATGGACAGGGACACAGGGACAGGATCCTGGAGGGACAGGGACACAGGGACAGGGCTCCAGGAGGGACAGGGACACGGGGACAGGATCCTGGATGGACAGGGACACGGGGACAGGATGGACAGGGACACGGGGACAGGGCTCCAGGAGGGACAGGGACACAGGGACAGGATCCAGGATGGACAGGGACACGGGGACAGGGCTCCAGGATGGACAGGGACACAGGGACAGGATCCAGGATGGACAGGGACACAGGGACAGGATGGACAGGGACACAGGGACAGGGCTCCAGGAGGGACAGGGACACAGGGACAGGATCCTGGATGGACAGGGACACAGGGACAGGGCTCCAGGAGGGACAGGGACACAGGGACAGGATCCTGGATGGACAGGGACACAGGGACAGGGCTCCAGGAGGGACAGGGACACGGGGACAGGGCTCCAGGAGGGACAGGGACACAGGGACAGGATGGACAGGGACACAGGGACAGGATGGACAGGGACACAGGGACAGGGCTCCAGGAGGGACAGGGACACGGGGACAGGATCCTGGATGGACAGGGACACAGGGACAGGGCTCCAGGAGGGACAGGGACACAGGGACAGGGCTCCAGGAGGGACAGGGACAGGGCTCCAGGAGGGACAGGGACACAGGGACAGGATCCTGGAGGGACAGGGACACGGGGACAGGGCTCCAGGAGGGACAGGGACACGGGGACAGGATCCTGGATGGACAGGGACACGGGGACAGGCTCCAGGAGGGACAGGGACACGGGGACAGGATGGACAGGGACACGGGGACAGGGCTCCAGGAGGGACAGGGACACAGGGACAGGATGGACAGGGACACAGGGACAGGGCTCCAGGAGGGACAGGGACACAGGGACAGGGCTCCAGGCCGCACAGGGGCCCAGGAACAGCTGCTGTGCCCGAGCAGCGACTCCCAGGAGGGATTTCCATCAGCAGCAGCACGTGGGCTTGGCCGGGAGCCCTGGAGGCTCCTGTGGCCCCTTCCCTGCAGCCGGGCGCGTTTGCTCCGTGCTCAGCTCACCCCGATCTCCCCACAACAGGGGATAGACCTTGTGCCGTGCTGAGGAGCCGCTGCAGACGAGCAGCTCTGCGAACCCTGGGGGCTCCCTGCGGGTGCCCGGCCGTGTGGGGAATAACAAACCACAAATAACTCTGGGTTTTTCCCTTGCCAGGGAATGAATCCCTGCGGAGGCAGCGCTGGGAAGGAGCCCCGGAGCAGCTGAGAGAGCCCCGAGGAGCAGCTGCTGGAGGAGGGGACGCCCCACTACCTGCACCAGCCCACCGCCCCTACTAACCAATGTCAGCAACCCGGTAAATCCTGCCTGGCTCCTGTCCAAAACCAGCCCGGCACTTGGGGCCTTGGGGGCAGAAACACCCGCTTCTCTGTGTGCCAAAGATAGGTCGTGATCCACGTGCAAACAGAGCCTGGGAAATCGGAATCTCACTCCAGAAATGCAGGCAGAGAGGGAGGGGAGGGGGAGAAACCTGAGCCAGGGCTGGGAGGAAATCAAATATTCCCTGCTGGGCTCTGGGAGGCTCCAGGGTGGTGGGATTGAAGGGACAGGCTGCTGGGAGCCCATGGGGAGCTCCAGGGAGGTGGGATTGAAGGGACAGGCTGCTGGGAGCCCATGGAGAGGGCAGGGGGGTGGGATTGAAGGGACAGGCTGCTGGGAGCCCATGGAGAGGGCAGGGGGGTGGGATTGAAGGGACAGGCTGCTGGGAGCCCATGGAGAGGGCAGGGGGGTGGGATTGAAGGGACAGGCTGCTGGGAGCCCATGGAGAGGGCAGGGGGGTGGGATTGAAGGGACAGGCTGCTGGGAGCCCATGGAGAGGGCAGGGGGGTGGGATTGAAGGGACAGGCTGCTGGGAGCCCATGGAGAGGGCAGGGGGGTGGGATTGAAGGGACAGGCTGCTGGGAGCCCATGGAGAGGGCAGGGGGGTGGGATTGAAGGGACAGGCTGCTCAGGCTGCTGGGAGCCCCTGGGGTGGGCAGGGAGCAGCGTCATTCTCTGTGCCTGTGTTTGTGCCAGAGCAGAATGCAATGTGGGGATTGCTCACCCACCGTGATGGGGTTTGGCTCCTTGGCCTGTCAGGAAATAGCCCCACATTGCTCTGCACAGAGAAAAGCAAGGCACAGCTCTTCCCAAGAATATTTCTGGGTTCCACGTTCTCTGAACCTCAGAGAAAGGAAAAACACAATTCTCACCATTCTCTGTGCCTGTGTTTGTGCCAAAGCAGAATGCAGCGTGGGGATTGTTCGCCCACAGTGATGGTGGTTTGAGTGCTTGGCAGATTCAGTTTAGATGCAATGTAATATAATGTAATATAGTATAGAATAATATAGTATCATAAATAATTAATTAGCCCTCTGATAAGATGGAGTCTCCTCCTCATTCCTCCCTGCCACGGGGATTGTCCTGTTTTGATGAATGGTTACAGAAAGAGAGGCAATAATTGCAGGAATTCTTTCCTCTGAGTTTCCCTCAGCTGCCCAGGGTTTTCCTGGGAGAGCCGTGGTTCAGGGGATCTGTGATCATTCCATAATGATCTCTGTGTTCCTGGCAGAGCCCCTGCAGGGCTGGCTGGCACCTGACCAGGACGGAGGGAAGGGAACAAGGCAGGAAATTGCTGCACTTCCCCTTCCCTCAGCTGCCCTCACCCTGAATCAGAGACCAGAAATCACAGACGGTTCTGAAACGTGTGACTGCGCTGCGCAAGGCTCTCGCCTTCTATTTATTTCCCAAAATAATCCATTTGCATCAGCCCAGCCCCTCCCATCCCTGCTCTGTGTGAAATGAGGTTATTAGTCCCTCACACGTGTGCGGTTCTTCTCTCTAATTGGGTCAGTGGTCTCTAACTGGGTCAGGGATGAAGTCAGGAATGTCTTCCTCAGGTCTCTGTGACCCTCTCTTCCCTGCTTTGTGATGGATTAACAGAGTCCAGTGCTGGGCACTGTTCTGCTGCTTCCAGTAATTCCTGTAATGCTTCTCTTGCTCCACTTCCTTCCACAGATGAGCTCATAATAGAGCAATTAGCTCAAATTGTTATTTCTGCAACAGATTTAAGCATCTAAGAATCACCAACCTATCATTGGTGTATCTAACCTCAGTGGGAATTGGTTCTGACCCTCAGCTGAAATCTTAGCCTTATAAAATCAGGATTCAACAGCCCTGGTGTGTCTAACTTCAGTTTGAATTGGTTCTGACCTGAAATCCTAACCCTATAAAATCAGGATTCCAATATGAATTGGCTCTGACCCTCAGCTGAAATCCCGACCCTATAAAATCTTGATTCAAAGCATTGTTTTCCTCTTGGTGTATCTAACTTCAATGTGAATTAGTTCTGACCTGAAATCCTAACCCTATAAAATCAGGATTTCAATATGAATTGGTTCTGACGCTCAGCTGAAATCCTGATGCTATAAAATCATGATTGAAAGCATTGTTCTCCTGCTGGTGTATCTAACTTCAATATGAATTGGTTCTGACCCCCAGCTGAAATCCTAACCCTATAAAATCAGGATTCACAGCCCTGTTGGTGTATCTAACTTCAATATGAATTGGTTCTGACCTGAAATCCAAACCCTATAAAATCAGTATTCCAATATGAATTGGTTCTGACCCTCAGCTGAAATCCTGACCCTATAAAATCATTATTCACAAGCCCTGTTGGTGTATCTAACTTCAATATGAATTCTGACCCTCAGCTGAAATTTTAACCCTATAAAACCATGATTACCAGCCCTGTTCTCCTGTTGGTGCATCTAAACTTCAATATAAAGTTCAGCTGCAGTCCTGCCCCTCCAAACCCACGGTCACCAGCCCTGTTGTCCGTCCCACAGGGAGCAGCCCATCTTCAGCACCAGGGCCCACGTGTTCCAGATCGACCCGGCCACCAAGAGGAACTGGATCCCGGCCAGCAAACACGCCCTGACCGTCTCCTACTACTACGATGCCACCCGCAGCGTCTACAGGATCATCAGCGTGGGGGGCACCAAGGTGGGCACTGCCCCGGGCACTGCCAGGCTGCTGTGCCCCCAAAATGACGGCCGTGTCCTTAAAATAACAGCTGTCCCCCTGGAAAACGGCTGTGTCCCTAGAGAGCAGCTGTGCCCTAAAAAGCAGCTGTGTCCTTAAAAAACAGCTGTGGCCCTAGAAAAGCAGTTTCCCCCCCCCTACAAAAAGCAGCTTTTCCCCAAAAACCCCAGCTGTCCCCCTCACAAAAGCAGCTGATTCTCTGATTGGTTCCCTGATTCCCTGTTTGATTCTCTGAGTCCCTGACTCCTTGATTGATTCCCTGATTGATTCCCTGACTCCCATATCAGTTCCCTGATTGATCTCCTGACTCCTTGATTGATTCCCTGATCAGTTCCCTGGCTGATCCCCTGACTCCCTGATCAATGATTCCCTGATCAATTCCCTGACTGATTCCCTGATCAATTCCCTGATTGATCCCCTGACTCCTTGATCAGTGATTCCATGATCAATTCCCTGCTTGATTCCCTGACTAATTCCCTGACTGATTCCCTGATCAATCCCCTGATCAATGATTCCCTGACGGATTCCCTGATCGATGCCCCGCTGTCCCCTGCCCAGGCCATCATCAACAGCACCATCACCCCCAACATGACGTTCACCAAGACCTCGCAGAAGTTCGGGCAGTGGGCTGACAGCAGGGCCAACACCGTGTACGGGCTGGGCTTCGCCTCCGAGCAGCACCTGAGCCAGGTGAGAGCTGGGAACCTGGGAAACCTGGGGATCCTGAGCCAGGTGAGAGCTGGGAACCTGGGAAACCTGGGATCCTGAGCCAGGTGAGACCTGGGAACATGGGAAACCTGGGGATCCTGAGCCAGGTGAGACCTGGGAACATGGGAAACCTGGGATCCTGAGCCAGGTGAGAGCTGGGAACCTGGGAAACCTGCGATCCTGAGCCAGGTGAGAGCTGGGAACCTGGGAAACCTGGGGATCCTGAGCCAGGTGAGAGCTGGGAACATGGGAAACCTGGGATCCTGAGCCAGGTGAGAGCTGGGAACCTGTGCCAGGTGAGATCTGGGAACCTGGGAATCCTGCGATCCTGAGCCAGGTGAGACCTGGGGAACATGGGAATCCTGCGATCCTGAGCCAGGTGAGAGCTGGGAACCTGTGCCAGGTGAGACCTGGGAACCTGGGAAACCTGGGGATCCTGAGCCAGGTGAGAGCTGGGAACCTGAGCCAGGTGAGCTCAGGAACCTGGGAAACCTGTGGGAACCCTTCCCAGGTGAGCTCATGGAATCCCCCCGGGAGAAACCCCTCCAGAAGATCCTCAGGCACCTGCTGAGTGCTGTTCTCACCGGGCTGGGATGGAATTCAAGGTGCCAAGGTTCCAGAAGCAGCTTTGGGGTTGTGTTTGCAGAGGGGTTTGGGCGCCACAAATGGAGCTGGGGCTGCTTCTGTGCTGAGCCCACAGCCCCGAGTGCCAAACTCAATTAAATCCCTGAATTTTGGTGTTGGAGAAAAATTCAGAAGTGTTTTAAACGAGGCTGCAGGCAGAGCATCACTATATATTTATTTAAATATAATTTCTATTACATTACTCTGCTGGTACGTTACCCAGCCCCAGGGTGACTCTCCCCTTCCCCTGCAGTTTGCAGAGAAGTTCCAGGAGGTGAAGGAGGCAGCTCGTGTGGCCAGGGAGAAATGCCAGGACAAAACTGAGCTCACCAACCCTGCCCTGAGCCTCCCTTCCCACCAGGTGAGGCTGGGGAATGGGGAGGAAAGGGGAGGAAAAGGGAGGTGACCCTGCTGGAGGTGCCCACCTGTCCCTGTCCTTGCCCCCAGGTGCTGCCCAGCTCCATCATCATCACCTGTCCTTCCTCCCAGCCCCATTATCCTCATCACCTGTCCCTGCTTTTCCCCCCAGGTGCTGCCCAGCCCCATCATCGGCTCCAACGGGCCCGGGGAGGACAAGCTGTTCCGCAGCCAGAGCGCGGATGTGGAGATCAGCACCGAGAAGGAGAGGCTGAAGAAGATGCTCTCCGAGGGGTGAGGCTGCTCTGAGCCCCAGGCTCTCCCCTCTGGCACGGCTGGGTGCTCGGTTTTGTCATGCCAAATTATTCTGATCCGTTCTGCCCTTTCCATTCTCTCTGCCTGCTGCTGAAAGCCTGGGCTGGATTCACAGAATCACAGAATCCCAGACTCAATCCCAGAATCATTCACAGATTCACAGAATCATTTAGAGAATCACAGAATCCCAGAATCAATCACAGAATCACAGAATCCCATATCAATCACAGAATCAAACCCAGAATCAGAGAATCCCAGAATCAATCCCAGAATCAATTCTAGAATCACAGAATCATTCACAGAATCATTCACAGAATCAATCCCAGAATCCCAGAATCAATCTCAGAATCCCAGTATCAATGCCAGAATCAATGCCAGTATCAATGCCAGTATCAATGCCAGAATCAATGCCAGTATCAATGCCAGTATCAATGCCAGAATCAATGCCAGTATCAATGCCAGTATCAATGCCAGTATCAATGCCAGAATCCCAGAATCAATCCCAGTATCAATCTCAGAATCAATCCCAGAATCAATTGCAGAATCACAGAATCAATCCCAGAATCCCAGAATCAGTCCCAGCATCAATCCCAGAACCGATCCCAGAACCGATCCCAGAATCAATCCCAGAATCCCAGAACCGATCCCAGAACCGATCCCAGAATCAATCCCAGAATCCCAGAACCGATCCCAGAATCATTCCCAGAATCAATCCCAGAACCAATCCCATCATTTCCTTTCCCCCCGTCCCAGCTCGGTGAGCGAGGTGCAGTGGGAGGCCGAGTTCTTCAGCCTGCAGGACAACAACTCCAAGCTGGTGGCGGCGCTGCACGAGGCCAACGCCAGCGTGGAGCAGTGGAAGAAGGAGCTGGCGGCCTACCAGGAGGAGACGGAGGCGCTGCGCCAGCGGGTGAGCCAGGGGGACGGGGACAGGGCCACAGGGGCTGGGGTCGGCGTGGCTGAGGGACAACACCCGCCATCCCTCCCTCAGGATTCCCTCAGGACTCCCTCAGGATTCCCTGGGGTTGATTCCCAACATCCTTCCTCAGGATCCCCAAATCCCTCCCTCAGAATTACCTCAGGATTCCCTCAGGATTCCCAACATCCCTCCCTCAGAATTACCTCAGGATTGCCTCAGGATTCTCTCAGGATTCGCTCAGAATTTCCAACATCCCTCCCTCAGGATTCCCTCAAGATTTCCTCAGGATTCCCTGCTGTTATTTCCAATATCCCTTCCTCAGCATTCCCTCAGGATTCTCTCAGGATTTCCTGAGGATTCCCAACATCCCTCCCTCAGGGTTCCCTCAGGATTCCCAACATCTATCTCTCAGGATTCCCTCAGGATTCCCTCAGGATTCCCTGGGGTTGATCCCCAACATCCCTCCCTCAGGATTCCCTCAGAATTTCCAGCATCCCTCCCTCAGGATTCCCTGGTGTTATTCCCAACATTCCTCCCTCAGGATTCCCTCAGGGTTCCCTCAGGATTCCCAACACCCATTCCTCAGGATTCCCTCAAGATTCCCTCAGGATTCCCTCAGAATTTCCAACATCCCTCCCTCAGAATTCCCTGGTGTTATTCCCAACATTCCTCCCTCAGGATTCCCGGGGCCTTGGCAGGATCACAGAAGAAACCATAACTCAGTGAAACACCTCCATTATTGTCCCAAAATCAGGACATTTTGGTGGGTTCTGGCCGCCCTGACACTCAGGGAATTGCAGGATCTGCTCCCGGTCTGGGTGAGCTCCTTGGAGCTGTTTGCAGAGCTCAGAGCAGCCCCAGCAGGAACAGAACCATTTTAAAAATGAATCCTGCTCATGAATAATCCAGGGCACCGAGCTGCATTTTCCAGGGGAGCTCTCCTGGGCAAACCCTTCAGCCCAGCTCTGCAGCAGCTCCAGAGCTTTTGGAGGTCTCCAAATGGAGCTGGAGGGGCTCAGGGCTGGGTGTGAGCCAGCGCAGCTGTGCTGGAGTGCACAATTCGTGCAGAAAGCACAGGCACGGTCTCCAAAGTGGGTTTTTTTGAGCACAAAATGGTTTTTTGAGCCACAAAATGGACGTGATCCCATTTTGGAATTGTTTTCCTCCCAGCCCCAAGCAGGAGCTGCCAGGTGGGTTTGCAGGGAGGCCAAGCATGGCAATGGTGCTGAGGGTGAGGAGATTCCTGAGGGAATGATTTCACCCTGCAGTGAATTATTGAGGGGTCAGGAATGATTTCACCTTGCACTGAATTATTGAGGGGTCAGGAGGTTCCTGAGGGAATGATTTCACCTTGCAGTGAATTATTGAGGGGTCAGGAATGATTTCACCTTGCAGTGAATTATTGAGGGGTCAGGAGATTCCTGAGGGAATGATTTCACCTTGCAGTGAATTATTGAGGGGTCAGTAATGATTTCACCTTGCACTGAATTATTGAGGGGTCAGTAATGATTTCACCTTGCACTGAATTATTGAGGGGTCAGTAATGATTTCACCTTGCAGGTGGCAGAGCTGGAGGCTCAGGGCACCCCCGACTCCTCCAGTGACAACAACAAGGAGGAGCTGAGCCAGAGCCTGGAGGAGCTGGAGCTGCTGCTCAAGGCCAAGGATGAGGTGAGAACCCCAAAAAACCTGTCAGAGCCCCCAAAACCTGCCAGATCCCCCCAAACCTGTCAGACCCCCCAGCTATCAGAGCTCTGAGGGACAGGGATGTGCTGGGGTTGAGAGGCTCAGGATCTTGGCAGCTCAGAATTCCCTCAAATCACAGAATTCACAGAATCACCAGGCTGGAAGAGACCTCGAGTCATAAACCCACACTTTTCACACTAATACACGCAATATTCACTCCAATATTTGCAAAAAGCCAATCATAAAACCCCCATTTTCCACACTAACACGACACACACAGTATTCACATTAACACTTGGAAAAAGCCAATCACAAATCCCCCATTTTCCCCAGGAGATCCAGCTGCTGAAGAGCCAGAGGTGCGGCCGCTGGGAGGCCGAGGGCGAGCGCGAGGAGACGCTGCAGAAGCTGCAGGTAAAGGGGGAGGTGGCACCTGATCAGGTAAAGGTGGAGGTGGCACCTTGGGGACATCCCCACTTTGCCCAGACTGTGATGGAGCCAATCCCACCAGCCTGGGGAGGATCCAGAGCAGCTCCAGTGCCAATCCCACCAGGCTGGAAGGATCCAGGGCCAATCCCAGCAGGCTGAGGAGGATCCAGAGCAGCTCCAGTGCCAATCCCACCAGGCTGGAGAGGATCCAGGGTGGGCTCCTGGGTGGGATCCCCACCTGGGGAGGCTCCAGGGCAAATCCCACCAGGCTGGGCAGGATCCACAGCAGCTCCTGAACCAATCCAAGCAGGCTGGAGTAGATCCAGAGCCAGCCCCACCGGGCTGGGGCATCCCTGTGGGCACAGCTGCCCTCCCACAGCCTCACCCCACGGGCAGGGCTGGGCACAGAGCTCCCCCCCAGTGACCCAGGACAGGGACCCGGCTCAGGAGGGGCCCTGGGGTGGCACTCGGGCTGTGAGCAGTCAGTCTGTCTGTCCGTCTGTCCCCGCAGGAGCTGGAGGCCCGCAACGCGGAGCTGGAGCAGCGGCTGCAGCTGGCAGAGCAGAGCCTGGCAGAGAGCCTGGCACACAGGGACAGGGTGCACCACGAGGTCACCAAGGTGGCCGAGATCATGGATGTGAAGATCTTCGAGCTCAGCGAGCTCAGGCAGGGCCTGGCCAAGCTGGTGGAGAGCAACTGAGCAGGGCCGAGAGCCCTGGAGAGGGGCAGCTCAGCTGGGGCTGGGCACCACCCACACATCCTGAGGGCACCGAGAGATCCTCTGGGCACCACTGAGAGATCCTGCAGACACCAAGGAAGAGCCTTTGGACACTGAGAGCTCCTGTGGGCACCACCCAGAGATCCTGAGGGAATCACCAAGAGCTCCTGTGGGCACCGAGAGCTCCTGTGGGCACTGAGAGATCCTTTGGGCACCAAGAGAGATCCTTTGGTCACTGAGAGCTCCTGTGGGCACCACCCAGAGCTCCCGTGGGCACCCAGCAGCCTCAGCCCTGTCCGGGCAGGATTTGCCACCCACCAGCAGCTGCCCGGCCAGAGCGGGCACCAGGCTGGGCACTCACTGCCCAGGGAGCCCCCGAGCAGGGCACGGAGCTCTGAGCCTCTCCAGGGAGCAGCTGGACCCCCAAATCTTCTCCAGGGAGAGCCTGAACCCTCAAATTCTCTCCAAGGAGTACCCGAAGTTCTCAAATCCTCTCCAGGGAGAGCCTGAGCTCCCAGTTATTCTCCAGGGAGCACAGGAACCCCCAAATCCTCTCCAGGGAGCACCTGAACCCCCAAACCTTCTCCAGGGGGAACCTGAGCCCCCAAATCTTCTCCAGGGAGCTCCTGAGCCTCTCCAGGGAGCAGCTGGACCCCCAAATCCTCTCCAAGAAGCACCTGAAGGTCTCAAATCCCTTCCAGGGAGCGCCTGAGCCCAGCCCAGGGGTGCCAGCTGTTGCCCAGGGGTGCCAGCTGTGCCCAGGGGTGCCAGCTGTGCCCAGGGGTGCCACCCCCCTGCCACACCCCACGGCTGCCCCCAGGTTTTTACATTTTCTAAGGGCAGGGGCCGAGCCCTTTGGGGTTTTCTGTCGTTTTTTAGGAACCGTTTGCCTTCGGCAGGTCCTGCCTGCTCCCCTGGCTGGGCACAGCCAGCACTGACTTCCTCCTCCTCCTCTTCCTCTTCCTCCATTCCCAGCCCCTGGACATCCCAGGGCAGCAGAGATGGAGGAAAACTCTGGAAAATTCTGGATTTCCCCAGAGGAAAATCTGCAGTTTCACAGCCTGGATGAGCTGAGCACAGAGGATTTCAGGACTGCTGGAAATTTGGGGCTGAGCACGGGGAATTTGGGACAAGGGACATCCCTGAGGGCACCAAGCTGCTGGGTTGGCACCTGTGAGGTTAATTGAAATTAAAAATGGAGCGAAACTCAGCTGCTCTCGGGGTTTTGTTTCTTTTTTTGGTCCTTTTTATATTGGAAGAAGCCCCCAGGGATGTCCTGATGTGTGGGGCAGGGACAGGGCCCAGCTGGGGCCAAGGACAGAGATGGGGACGGTGCCCTGAGGGGCTGGGGGGACCCCAGAAATTCTCCAGGAGTTACCCCAGAAACCTGGGAGTTATCATAGAAATTTGGGATTAATCTCAGAAGTTTGGGAGTTACCCCAGAAATTTGGAATTAATCCCAAAATTTGGGAGTTACCCAGAAAATTGGGATTAATCTCACAAGTTTCAGAGTTATCCCAGAAATCTGGCAGTACCCCAGAAACCTGTTACAAGTTACCCAGAAACTTGGGAGTTGTTTCAGAAATTTGGGAATAATCTCAGAAATTTTGGATTCATCTCAGAGGTTTGGGATTAATCTCAGAATTTTCAATTTAAGAGTTATCCCAGAAATTTGGGAATACCCCAGAAATTCAGGAGTTACCCCAAAAGTTTGGGAGTTATCACAGAAATTTTGGATTAATCTCAGAAATTTGGGACTACCCCAGATGTTTCCCAGCCTCTGGAATTGAGGGAGGCCCGAGGGAGGCCCTGGCTCTGCTTTACCACAACTTCCCTATTTTATTTTAAGCATCATTCCTCTTGCTGCCTCATCTCTTTACTCAACTCTTATTTCTTTTATTTCAATGCTTTATATTTGGTTTTTTGGTCAGAAAGTTTCAAAACCTTTCTTTGTGTCTGTTTTGGACACAGCAGATCCAATCAGCATTTGCTGATTCCATTGCAAATTGACACAAAAATGTACAAAATTGACACCAAAATGCACAAAATTGACACAAAAACCCCATTTTCCCAGCAGGTTTGGGGCTGTCCCTGAGGCAGGGTCCCTTCCTGGGCTGGAGCCACTCTGATCCTTGCCAGAACCTTCTGGAAATCCTTGTGGAGCAGCTCAGGGCTGTGCTCAGCATTGGGAATAACAAGAGCTTTGTGCAGGCTGTGATGGATGGCTCTGGGTTCCCTCCTTCCTCACTGATTAAATCCAATTTATCACCAGCAATTCCCTCAAATCTGGCTCCAACCAGCACAAAACTTCCCTGGGCTGCTCCAGAGCCCCAGTTCCACAGGATTTTGGTTCCGATTCCAGCCATTTCCAGAAGATTCTATTTATTTTTTGGTTGTGTTTCAGAGCAGGGGCACCAACACCTCCCTCCGAGCCCTCTGTAGCCCTGATTAATTCCTTATTAACCTGATTAATTCCTTATTTTTGTGCTTCCAAAGGGGAAAATCTTGTGCTGCAGAGGTGACAAAGCTGCAGTTTTGTGTCTGGCAGCAGCATTTGGTGCATTTTTGTGCATTTTGTGCATTACTTTTGTGTCTGGCAGCAGCTCCATCCCAGCGCCCTCCTGGCTGAGGCCTCACAAATGAGGATTTTAATTATTCACAAGGCAGCCAGAGCGTTAATAACGGGATAAATTAATCACACAGGAGAGTGGGATGAGCAGGGAAAAGCTCTTGGAGATTCCCCCTGAGCACAAAGGGAAGGATCCGAGGAGAACCTGGAGCTGCTTCCAGAGGTGCAAGGGGCTCCCAAGGAGCTGGAGAGGCTTTGGGATGAGGGGCACAGGGAATGGATCTGGGATTTGGGATGGAATCCCAGGGCACAGGGAATGGATTTGGGATTTGGGATGGAATCCCAGGGCACAGGGAATGGATCTGGGATTTGGGATGGAATCCCAGGGCACAGGGAATGGATCTGGGATTTGGGATGGGAATCCCAGGGCACAGGGAATGGATCTGGGATTTGGGATGGGAATCCCAGGGCACAAGGAATGGATCTGGGATTTGGGATGGAATCCCAGGGCACAGGGAATGGATCTGGGATTTGGGATGGAATCCCAGGGCACAGGGAATGGATCTGGGATTTGGGATGGAATCCCAGGGCACAGGGAATGGATCTGGGATTTGGGATGGGAATCCCAGGGCACAGGGAATGGATCTGGGATTTGGGATGGGAATCCCAGGGCACAAGGAATGGATCTGGGATTTGGGATGGAATCCCAGGGCACAGGGAATGGATCTGGGATTTGGGATGGAATCCCAGGGCACAGGGAATGGATCTGGGATTTGGGATGGAATCCCAGGGCACAGGGAATGGATCTGGGATTTGGGATGGGAATCCCAGGACACAGGGAATGGATCTGGGATTTGGGATGGAATCCCAGGGCACAGGGAATGGATCTGGGATTTGGGATGGGAATCCCAGGACACAGGGAATGGATCTGGGATTTGGGATGGAATCCCAGGACACAGGGAATGGATTTGGGAATTTCAGGAGCCAGGGAATGGATTTGGGATGGATTTGGGAATTTCAGGGCACAGGGAATGGATTTACACTGGAAAGGGGAATCTGGGTGGGATTTGGGCAGGAATTCCCGGCTGGAATTCCCAGAGGAGCTGAGGCTGCCCTGGATCCCTGGGATGTCCAAGGCCAGGCTGGGACTGGACGAGCCCTGAGCTCCTCCCAGCCCAATCCCAATCCCAATCCCAATCCCAATCCCAATGGTTCTGGGATTTTCCCTCCTCCCCAGCATTGTTTTTTGCCCACATTCAAGAGTTCAGTCCCAATTTTCCCAAAGCAGCAGCAATTCCAGGGCACTCCGGGCCGGGCCCAGCCGCGTCACTGCTCCTCCTTCTGCTCCTTCTCCTTTTCCTTCTCCTTCTCCATCTTCCTCCTCCTCCTCTCCATGCTCTTGTGCATTTTCCTGCGGAGCTGCAGCTGCCTCCTCCTGTGCAGGCTCTGCTGCAGCTTCTGCCGGCACTCCCTGTTCCTGCTGCGGATCCGCGACAGCTCCGCCCTGCGGCGCGCCTCCTGCTCGGGGTCCTGGGGGACATTGGGGACATTGGGGACATTGGGGACAGCTCCGCCCTGCGCCGCGCCTCCTGCTCGGGGTCCTGGGGGACATTGGGGACACTGGGGACACACCCAGGACATTGGGGACATTGGGGACAGCTCCGCCCTGCGCCGCGCCTCCTGCTCGGGGTCCTGGGGGACATTGGGGACACTGGGGACATTGGGGACATTGGGGACATTGGGGACAGCTCCGCCCTGCGCCGCGCCTCCTGCTCGGGGTCCTGGGGGACATTGGGGACACTGGGGACACTGGGGACAGCTCCGCCCTGCGCCACGCCTCCTGCTCGGGGTCCTGGGGGACATTGGGGACACTGGGGACACACCCAGGACATTGGGGACATTGGGGACAGCTCCGCCCTGCGCCGCGCCTCCTGCTCGGGGTCCTGGGGGACATTGGGGACACTGGGGACATTGGGGACACTGGGGACAGCTCCGCCCTGCGCCGCGCCTCCTGCTCGGGGTCCTGGGGGACATTGGGGACACTGGGGACACTGGGGACATTGGGGACATTGGGGACATTGGGGACAGCTCCGCCCTGCGGTGCGCCTCCTGCTCGGGGTCCTGGGGGACATTGGGGACACTGGGGACACACCCAGGACACTGGGGACACTGGGGACACTGGGGACATTGGGGACAGCTCCGCCCTGCGCCGCGCCTCCTGCTCGGGGTCCTGGGGGACATTGGGGACATTGGGGACAGCTCCGCCCTGCGCCGCGCCTCCTGCTCGGGGTCCTGGGGGACACTGGGGACACTGGGGACATTGGGGACATTGGGGACAGCTCCGCCTTCCTGTGGGCCTCCTGCTCCGGGTCCTGAGGGACAGACACCGGGACACTGGGGACACCGGGGACACCAGGGACACTGGGGACAGCTCCGCCCTGCGCCGCGCCTCCTGCTCCGGGTCCTGAGGGATGGGGACATTGGGGACACCAAGGGCTGGGGACAGGGACGGACACTGGGGACAGGCTGAGGACATTGGGGGCAGGATGATGACAGGCCCAGAGATGTTGGGGACACAGCCAGGACACTGGGGACAGGATGGGGACAGGCCGGGAAGGGAAGGGAAAGAGGAAGAGGGGCTGTCCTTCCCTTTCCCACATTTCACCAGCGCATGGAGCAGCAGCTCTCACCTTCCCCTCCAGGATCATCTGTTTCCTCTTATTGATTTCCTTCTTCTCATCAAAATCCATCCCCTCCAGCTCCTGGCAAAGGGAAGAGCAGCAGAGCCGCAAACCTCAGCCCTGAGCAGCAAAACCCCCG